CCGCAAGGTTGTTCGTCGATGGCGTGTTTCGCTATCACGGTCTCCCGGAGACGATTGTCTCGGACCGAGACCCGCGGTTCACTGCTGCGTTTTGGAAAACGCTGTTCCCTTTACTGGGAACTCGTCTGCAGATGTCCACTGCGGATCATCCGCAGACAGACGGCCAAACAGAGCGCGTCAATCGAGTGCTCAAGGACACTCTGCGCAGTGTGTGCGCGGCAGCGCCACGTACGTGGTCGTCGCAGCTTCCAGTTGTTGAGTTTGCGCTCAACAACGCGGTGCACGCGTCCACGGGGTTCACGCCGTTCTACTTGAACGGCTTCCGCCACCCCAGAGTGCCTCTCACTCTTCGAGGAGACACTGACTCCTCTATTCTAAGTGGGGGAGAGGCTCGGAAAGCCCTTTCCTCCCAGGTCTCGGATGTGAGGCCAGTTTCGCTGCGGAAACAGGTGAAATCCTTTATGGATACCAAGCTGAACATTGTCAGCAGGGTCCGCGATGCCATGGCAGCGGCCCAAGATAAACAAAAGGAGTACTCAGACAAACAAGGAAGAGGAAACTTAAGTATATTTGAGGTTGGTGACTTAGTGTTGCTAGACACGAGGAACCTACCTCTAGACACTGTTAGCTCTGTCGGCAGCAACAAACTGAAGCACCGCTTCATCGGACCTTTTGCAGTCCTGGCCAGACATGGTGCGTCGTACACCATCGACCTTCCAAAGTCAATGACGACGCATACGACGTTCTATGTCGGACGTCTTAAGCGGTACTTTGACCCGCAGGGGGTTGCTGACTCGCAGATCCCCCTTGACCCAGCTCCTCGAAGCGAGGGCCGGTCACAGTCGTCGACGAGGGCGTCGGAGCAGGCACCCAAGTCTCGGTCGGGACGGCAAGGCTGCGGTCAAGACCGTACGCCGGAGGGGCTCCATACGAACGGACCCCGGCGCCATACGCCGAGTACGCTGAGTACGCCGGGTACGCACCATACGCGTACGTCTGGTAGTGTGCCGCAGGCGGATCCGGACGTGGCAACAAAGCCTCGATCCGTCGGATCATGCGAAAGGCCTCGTCCAGATCGGACGAAGAGGCCCGGCGATCCACCCGCAGGTGCAGGCTCGCGACCTCTCGCTCCACCAGGTCCAGGCGACCCGCAAGACGAGCGAGCTCGCCCTGATTCCCGGCCTGGGCGGCAGCATTACCGCCAGTCCCAAGGCCAAGTGCAATCTCAAGCACGAGGAGACGTTGACGGAGGCGGTCAACCTCAGGGTCCCGTGTCGGACCCGCAGTCGGAGCACTCGAACGAGAGTGGCTCTCGGGAGGCGCTGAGTACTCGTACTCGTACGAGGGCACCTCCGCCCCTGCTTGACCGGAATGGAGAAGTCCACTTCCACGTGGAGCGGATCCTCCAGGAGCAACGGTGTCGCGGGAAGCGACAGCTCCTCGTGAAGTGGAGGGGTTATGCCCACTCCGAGAACTCGTGGGAGCCGATTGAACGGCTCCTGATTGACTGCCCGAAGGCTGTCGCAATCTGGGAACAGAAGCGGCGGCAGCTTCATAAGTAGTCCGGGGCTTCTTGCCCGAACGGGGTACGGATGATGAATACATACCGTACCCGCGCTCATCGTGAGCGCTAGAAGCCGCGCGCTTCAGGATGTCCCTTGGCAGCATACGCTTGCTGATCAAGTGGGCAAACCTCACACGAAGATCACGCTGGTCCAGGATGTGGGACAGCTGCTGATCTTCATGGAGTTCCCATAACTCCGTGGGCGAGTACTTGAGAGTCTCCACCCACGCCCAGAACATGTCCTCACAAGAACTCCATGTGGGACAGTTCTCGGGCATAACCCAGGGGTATCCCCAAACAGGATAGAGACCACCCCGGGTCTCGGGCTTCTTACGACAAGTCGTGAAGTCCTTAAGGGGAATGCGGTGTGGCGCGAGAAGCACACACCGAGCAGCCTCCACGTTGTCGACGAACAACTGTTCTTTCTGAACAAGGGCTCGTTCATAGATGCCCCTAGAAGTGTGGCCGCCCACAAGGCCACGAGGAGCGACGAGAAGCTCTAAGAAGAGGTCAGCCCCAGAGCTCTCCTCGGGAGGCCAATACCCTCTTGAGTTGATGGCAGCTCCCTGGCTGACGGGTGCCGCCACCGAACCCCCACGCACACGCTGGGCAGCTTGGAAATCCTCCTGCTGCTGGTCGAGGTCATTCGAGACCTCCCGGGGCTCAACAATGGCACCCTCCTCTTCCTCTTCTTTCTCCTTCTCCTCCTCTTCATCCGAGGAGCCGAAGAGACTCTGATAGGAGCGTCGAGTCTCCTTCTCCTCGCGGAGTGGAGACTTAGAGGCGGTACGCTTCTTTGAGGGCTTGGCCTTCGGCTTTAGAGGCCTTAGCGCGCGCAAGACCCTCGGCAAGCGAGAGACGTTTGCGAGGACTCCCTTCCTCATCGCCACCGGCTTTGGGAGTGCCCTTAGCCTTAACGGCCGGACTCTCAGAGCGCACAGAGGTCCTGGGACTGTGATCACCGTGATCACTAGCGGACGACTGCACGCTGTCTTCTTTGTGCTCACTGGGCACTGGGCTGTGCCCTCCCACAGAGCCCGCAGGAGCATCATGAGTGCTCTCGGACTCGGCATCGTCCTCACTGCCCGAGTTGAACTCACGTTCTACGAACCGAGGGTTCGGACGATTGTCTGAACGACGAGGCCGACGGACTGCGGCGCCTGCTTGCGCGCTTGTCCGCAGCCGCGTCACCCGAGGATCGGATCG